CTGCTGATCTAGCAGTAGCCTGCAGTGCTGCATTTAACCACTGCGCCACCTTGGCTCTTGACAACGTTCCTCCAGGCCTTCCTGTCCTCTGCCATCCTCTGGAGTCCATTTAAACTCACTCCTACTGCTTCGGTGACTCCATCCAGCCACCTCATTCTCTGTCGACCCCTTCTTCTTTTGACCTCAATCTTTCCCAGCATTAGGCTCTTCCCCAGTGAATGATTAGCAGTTTTGGATATTTGGGATATTGAAAGCATGGTGAAAAAAATGAGTAATTTTAAAAATATTACATAAAAGACGGGGGATAATAAACAATGGTGAAATGTTACAGGGAAAATAAAGAAATAGAAATAAGAGGGGAACAATAACATACATATTTTAATATATGTAATAATGGGAGGGAGGTTTAGAAATTGAATGGCGATGGTATTAGATATGTTTAAATAACATGAAACAATGAAGATGAAGTGTAATAACTGTGAGTAACAACATTATGTTTATCTGTACTAAATGTATGACACCCAGATGTCACCCTGTTCACACATTCATATGTATAAGCAATATAAAATAAAAAACTTGACATTAAAAAAAAAGAAACAGAAGCTTCATATAGAGATCCCTCCAATCCTCTCCCCTCCCACCAGAATGCCAGCATCCCAATATAAATATATGGGGTCTGATTCACTCTCTACATATTTATATTTCTACGTATCTAAATCTCTCTCTCTATATATATTTAAATACAACTATGTCAGTGGTGGATTCCGGATCCCGTTGCAACTGGTACGGTGCAGTGGGGCCCTGCATCCACCACATGAACGTGTGCAGTATGTGTGCACATGCGTATAGGGCGCGCATCCGTCCTTACCTCCTGCGATGCTCCAGCTGCTCAGCGGAACGTTGCACAAGCGCCGTACACTCCATGCACAGAAGCGCCAAAGAACTCAAATACAGGTAAGGGGGGTGGGCCCTCCGGAGCACCGTACTGGAACGGTACCTGGTGCTCCTGGCAGGCACCGGTACGCCCGTACCGGGGCGTACCGGTCGTAACCCACCACTGAACTACGTGAATAAACTTGCAAGGATAGCAAAACTTATTTTTCCTGTTTTTCCTAGTATTTTTCTTTTCCAGAGGAGCAATTCAGAGCCAGTACATTTGTGACAAAGGCAGTGAATAAGAAGCTACTTTCAAATAAGAGGCTGTCTAGGGAGTACTGACTGGATTATACAACAAAAGATATTAACTTCAATTATTAAATTAACAGATTTTCTTAGTCCACACAGTCCAAGTGACTAATGAAACAGGTCAGGTTTGTGTAACACATTGAGCCGCAAAAAAACCTCTTAACTGGGCTAAGCATGTTGTGGACATGCATTTTCCGTATATTTCAACTGATTTGACTAAACTGTGACTTGGTGTCACAGAAGTGACAGTATGGCTGGGTCAGATTCATTATTGAGCATTCTCTAGGTGTGATGGAATACAAATTCTTTTACCACACTATTATCTGGGGATGAAGCCACTTTGTATTGTATTTATGTTTAAATTTCTATTCAACCTTTAAATCAGGAGCTCAAGGAGGTATATGTAATGTTCCTTCCTCCTATTTTATTGCTACCACAAAAACTCTGTGAGGGAAGGTGAGTTGAGAGAGTGTGAGCAAGAGAGCGGGTGGACTGCAACCTCAGCTTTCCCACTTGGATTCCAATACCTTAACTATACTACGCTGCCCCACCTATGCTGGCAGAACAAAAGTGTTACCTTCTAGTTTTATACTTCATGTACATGCAGCACATATTTCCAAGGACTAAGAATGTGTCTGGGTCTTGAACACTCTGTCTTGATAGGTGTAGTGTGCAGAGACATTCAAGGGAGTCATAACAGCAATTAGCCACTCCCCTAATTTGAACCCACAAACAAATTTATTGTGGGTTCACGGTACGGCAGCTCTTCAGCCACTTGATGGGCGAAACTGTTCAAGCTGAATGTGGATATAAGTGCTACATGTACTCCTTATGTAATGTCTACTCTTTCAGTAACCCTTTGAAATTGTGATGGTGCTGAATGAGGGGTGCTTAGAACTCTCAGGTCTGTGGCAGTACCTTACAGGCTCGAGATCACCATTTGTGGCTTTCCCTGCCAGCTTCTTCTGATAAGCAGAATCAGCGGTGATGCTCAACTGCCTGGGATTTGCCTAAAGACAGCCACAGGGACTGCTGCACCTGCCATCCTAAGTTGGTGTGATCACATGACATTGTGGCTAGTGACCAAGATCCCCATCTAGTTGGGGATTGCTAATATTTGGTTTGTTGATCTATTCTCGTGAGAGAGATTTATTTTGACACAGAATTCTTTTTCTTTGTAACTGAAAGTAGTTTGATTGTTTTCAATAATTTCACCCATGGTTTTTGCTTATTATATACAGTAATTCTATAGTAACATCCAGCATACAAATTAGACACATTTATTTATTATTTATAAATATTTTTGCCTGTTCAGTTATTTTAACGCAGCCAGTAACTGAAGCATACCTTTATGTAGTAGTGAATTAATATATTTGTAGCAGAACTTTTTATGATGTTTTAAGGGTTGAAATACACACACAGAGGAATAATGCTATTTTCATTTTGTATAAGAGATTTGCATTTTTTCATATATAGGGTAGTAGCTCTTCTGAAAGATCCAAATCATTAGGATCATCGCGCTCCAAAAGGTTAGTTGGTGTGTTTTTAAATTTTTAATTTGCCTGCTTCTCTGAATCAGGAGATTGACTTTAAGAATTGATAATTATGCTTAGAGGTGATTTAACAGAAATATTATGGGACACTTGATGAAGTATATTTTCTTGCACTTTTAAAAATAATTCATAATATTAATTTACCCATTGAATACAAATATTCTCAGAAATAAAATCCAGTTGCACAGATTTGACTGCATCCAGTTTTGCATCACATTACAAAAAAGATGTTGAGACTTTGGAAAAAGTGCAAAGAAGAGCAACTAAGATGATTAAAGGCCTGGAGACTAAAATATGTGAAGAACAGTTGCAGGAACTGAATATGGCTAGTCTAGAGAAAAGGACTGGGGGGACATGATAGAAGCATTCCAGTATTTGAGGGGCTACCACAAAAAAGACTTTATCTTCTTCAAAAAAATCAACTTATTTTCCAAAGCACCAAAGGTCAAGGTAAGAAACAATGGATAGAAACTAACCAAGGAGAGAAACAGCCTGGAATTAAGGAGAAACTTCCTAGCAGTGAGGACAATTAACCAGTGGAACAGCTTGCCCCTCAGAAGTTGTGGGTGCTTCATCAATGGAAGCTTTTAACAAGAGACTGGACAATCACTTGTCTGAAATAGTATAGGGTCTCCTGGTTGAGCAGGGGGCTGGACTAGAAGACCTCCAAAATCCCTTCCAGCTGTATTCTGATTGATTGACTATGTGGAATTATATATTATTATCAATTATAATTATTTTAGTTGATTTTTTTTAATTCTTCATAAACTGTGTTAGATTCTTTGCATAAAGATATAATTTGAGGCTGTAATGTTGTGCAAAATTGGATGCAGTTTTAAAGATCTGTAATTTTGTTAAATATGTACGTGTGACATAATGAATATTTGTCTTTGCTGCTCATTCAGAAAACCCACAGTTGTAACAAAAT